CTGCAGCAGAGGGCAGGCAGAAGTAGAGGTGGACTCCTGACACTGGAAGCAGAGTGTGCTGGCTGCTCAGGCTGAGAGGGGCTGCCGCCAGAGGCAGGTTTGTCTCTAGGGGAGCACCCCTTAGCTGGGAACTGGGCCTCAGTGTAGGCACTCATCCAGGAGCCCAGAACAGCTCAGACACCATCCCTGTCAGACCACCCTCCTTTCCTGCTTTGTAGCCCCAGGGTACCCCAGTCCTAGCCTGGATACTAGGATCTGACTTCCCCAAGAGACTCAGCCCCCCCCCCCCCCCCCCCCCAGATCTTCCTCTGCAAGTGTCTTTGGCTGTGTTCTCAATTTTCCCTTCTCCTACACTTCATCCTTAATATAGGATTTTGGGCATGAGTCTTCTTCTGTTTATCTGTCCATCTGTCTCCCTGGCCCTCCTTCCTTGGGCTCCCCTTCTCGGCCCCCAGTGATTGTATTCAGTTCCCAGTGATTGGTGTCTGTCACCTCTCCCCTCAGCTAACCTGTGCCAGATTCCTGAGACACTACGGTTTCTGTGCTGATTGTACAAGCATGGTTTCTTTTAATCCTCAAACAACTGTATAAGGTGGGTCTCACTCCCTGAAACACACCAGGCACATTGTGGCCTCAGTACCTTTGCACTGCCCCTGTTTTGGCTCCTCCTGTGACTCCTTTCCTCGCCCCTTTTGGTCTCTCTTCAGATATCCCCTTGTCATTTGATCTTCTCTGACCATCCTATTTGAAATAGCTCCCTCGCCACCATACACCTTCTCTTTTTCTCTGTAACATTTAAACTGTCTGATGTGCTCTGTATTTTACTTATTTGTAAATAGTTCCCTTAGTTCCCTTCATTCTAATGAGCCAGCGGTGTTTGGCTTTTCTCCTGCTGTCCCCACCGTATCTGGTACCTAGTCTGTGCTCAGTTTTCCATTTTATAAATGAAGACCCTAAGGCTAGGAGAGGCTAAGAAATCCACACAAATTCTCATAGGATGGTAGCAGAGCCCAAGTTGAACCCAGAGTGTGACCTTACATTTCCTCAAGGACAGCCGTAGGGTGGGTTGGTGGAGGAGGCTGGTAATAGGGCTGACCATCTAGTTGGAATACCTGAGCTTTGGAGATGGGAGGGTGCCCTATAGGACACAGTGGCCAGCATGTGTCTGAGGAGGCCCAGGGGAACGGAGGTCTTCCTGTGTCCTCCCAGCTGGCAGGAGAGAAGCTGCCACCAGGAGAGCCAGGTCACACCAGCAGTTTTGTGCTGGGGCAGTTCTGATTTCCAGCAGAATCCATAACCTAAGGAGAGGGTTGATGGCATCAGCCCCCCACCCCCACCCCCACCGCCTGGTAGAAACGTGAGCAAATCCCTTCGTCTGGGCCTGAGTCCTTTTTTTCTTTACCTTCTTCTTTTCTTTTTTGTGATACTGGGGGTTGAACCCAGGGGTGCTGTACTATATCTCAGCCCCTTTCATTTTTTTTTTATTTTGAGACAGGGTCTCACTGAATTACTGAGTCTGACCTTGAACTTGCAATCCTCCTGCCTCAGCCTCTCGAATCTCTGGGATTACAGGTGTACTCCACCACACCCAGCTCTGTTTCTTCATCTGTAAAAGCAGAAAGGGAGTTTTACTGGATGACTTTTGGATGACCTTTCACTTCTAAAAAGCCAGGATTCTGCAATATCAGAAGCTGCATGCAGGGGTCTCCTGGGAGACCCTCACACCTCATCTCTGTCACCATTTTATTGAGGACCTACTCAATATAAAGCTCATTTATTCCTACAGTGGCACGAGGAGCTGGGTACTAGTTCTGTCCCTGTCTTACATGAAGCCTCCTAGAGAGCACGATTTACTTGGTTGAGGGCCAAGGCCAGGATGAGGAACCCAGGTAACCTGACCCTCAGATGCAGCATCTATCTCAGGGTTCCCTAGCTCTCTTTTTCTCTCAGACTGACAGCACAGGGGCTGGCTGAAGGCAGGCTCAGATACAACTGCCAGCTCTGCAGGATGGCCTTGTGGCACAAGGCCCTGACCCTTAGCAGGCTGGTGGTGCATCAGCCACCTCTTATATGATGCCATTTGTCCTGGGCAGCCCCCATGCAAGGGAATTTGGGGAAAGAAAGCAGTATCCCTGCCCCCTGGGGGAGGCCTGGCCCAAAGCACCAGTTACAGGCAAGTCAACTGCTTAGGAAATAATTGAGTATGGGGAGTAGCTTAGGGGAGAAAAGAATAAAACGGGTCCTGAAGAGGAACTGTAACCTTAGAGTAATGTGGGGGACAGTCCTTCCTGTAAAAACAAGAGCAAGCTGGGTGCAATGGTGCACGCCTGTAATCCCAGCGGCTCAGAAGGCTGAGGCAGGAAGATCACACAAGTTCAGAGCCAGCCTTAGCAACTTAGCAAGGTGCTAAGCAACTCCACGAGACCCTGTCTCTAAATAAAATATAAAAAAGGCTGGGGATGAGGCTCAGTGGGTAAATGCCCCTGGGTTCAATCCCCGGTTCAAAAAAAAAGAGCACAAGTGAGTAAAGATAGCTAGAGCAGGGGGTTGTTCCCTGACTGAGAGGGTGGGCTGTGCCTACTGGGCTTGAAAGGTTCCCGACCTGCTGCAGGGGCCCCAAGCAGCAGAAGGGAGTGGGAAGGCTCCTTGGCCCTGTGGGCGAGGGACTGGTCGTACTGTCCTTCCTCCATCTCTGCTCCCTGTGCTCTGCCCCTTGGCAGCTCTTCCTGAGCTTGTTTTTCCAAATCACTAATTAACCTACGCTGGACTCCCAGGTGGGACGACTCTCCTGGCTAACTTTCCCTCAGAGAGCGCGCTTGTTTCCCATGCTTCAGAACTGGGACGTGCTGTCCCCACTCGTTCTGCTTCTCGGGGCCAGGGATGAAGCCATAACCCTGGATGCCCAACACTGCCAGGGCCCCCGGCAGGTGCTTCCACCAGCTCATCCCACCTCTGGCAGGCAGAGGCCACAGGCTGGAGCCGTTTTCCTGGGCCCATGTCAGCCTGCACTGTTTTGGCAGCCCATTCCTCAGAGGAGAAAAAATGAGCCCAGCAAAGACACTTGAAATGGACCTTCCCAGGGAGAAGCAGACAGAAGACACTCCAGGCAAAGCTAAAAAGTAAAGGTGTGTCTAGCCCACTCCCTCTCCAGACTTCTCCTTTTATGCTGTTTCTGATCCAAGCTCAAGTGTAAATGAGGTACATCATAGCATATGATAGGGGGGATCTGTCCCAAGTCCAAGGTATGCATCCCCAAGGATATGAAATAGCAAGCATGAGACAACTGACCCTGCCCAGTGAAGACAGTGAGATGGGAAGGGAAGGTAGACTCTAAACTGTTTACAGTTCAAGTCTGGTTTGTACCTCTTCTGGGCTATGTGACCTGAGACAAGTATGTAACCTCTCTGATCCTCAGTTCCTCCTGCATAAAATAGGTTGAGGCCTGCCTCCCGCATCCCTGGAAGGATTGAAGGTGGTGACACATAACAGAACCCCTAACGGCACCCCAGACATAGAATAGACAGCTGATGGATATCTATGTCCAAAGTTCCCTCAGACTTGCTGCTGCTCTCGAGGCCCTCAGAGTGTGGCTTCTTCTCATTTTCATGGATCCCCCTATGTTCTGCATTGCTGTTTTGCAATGTTAAGAAAAGGGTGTTCCCCTTAACACTTCCAATGCAGATTCCCCAAGATGAAAACCCCTCTGAGAGTCAGGTCTGAATTCTCCTTCAACAGTGAAGGCCATGGCAGGTGGAGTTTGGGAGGGGCGGGCATGGGCTTGCCAAATGGTCCTGGGGACAAGGACCTCGCTCATCCCCTGTTTAGGCTCAGCCCTCTGCTCAGAGAGGAAGCTCAACTCACACACACCAACCAGGACAGGAGGCAGCAAGGGCTGAAGAACAGTCCCCAACAACGGGCTCCCGACAGTGTTGAATGGCATGGCATGAATAACAGATGAAGGCTCTGTAATTGGTGTTATTACACATGCATTTCATCTCCATTCATAATGATCAGACACTTAAGCCCAGCCATTCCTCTGCCAAGTGCCACTGTCGCCATTCTAACTGCCATTCTGGCAGTTGTTGGGATCAGCCACTGCCACTCTGATCCTGGTGGGTACAGTTCATTTTTCTTTGGATCTGAATGTCCCAGAAAATGTCAGTTTGTGGGAAGAGGCAAAACTGGTGATTCTGGGTGGACCATTGCGTCTCCTGCCACAGTGCATGTTGTCTTGTCTTCCTTCTGGGGCTTCCTTGGTATCTGTGATGTCACCTAGGCATCCTTGAGGCTGGAAAGAGGAGCTAAGACTGGCTTACGGTGCCTCATGGCTGGAGCTGTTGGCTTGGCTGGCAGAAGGAGTCCTCAGGTCATTCTTTGGGGCCTCCCTTAAAGCAGTGTGCCTCAAACCTATGTGTGCATCAGGATTCCCTGGGAACTTTTACTGAAACAGATTGCTGGGCCCTGGACCCCTGGCGCTTCTCAGTCAGTAGGTTTGGGTGGGGCCTGCAATTTGCATTTCTAACCAGTTCCCAGGGACCTCTTGCTTCTGGTCCAGGAGCTGTCTTCTAGGACCACTGCTCTGGTTACTGTGGCCTTTCCTGAGTGCTTGTGGGAAAGGCAGAACTGCAGGTCCTTCCCCAAGCTCCGTGAGACAGAATCATATTGAGACAGGATTTGAAGCTGGTCTGGACACCCATTACAGTTCGACAAGCCTTAAAGGGATGGGCAGAGCTGTCCCAGGCAGGGCCAGGCAGCTGCAGTTCCATGACTGCTGCTTCCACACAGCAGCCTCTGTCTGCTGGGTACCATGACAGATTAGGAAGCTGAGACCCTCTGAGGAGAGAATTCCAGCCTCTGACTCTGCCTGAATGCCCCCTTTTGTTTAACACACTGCCTGGTGCCCTGTGTGCGCACCTTCCACGAACAGAGGTCCCTGTCCCCAGTGGGGCTGTCCATCCCTGTCTTGATTGCTGCTCCTGGCTCTCGTCCCCTGCCCACAGGTGGTAGCATTCGCCTCCCTCTTCTTCATCCTGGTGTCCATCACCACCTTCTGCCTGGAGACTCACGAGGCCTTCAACATCGACCGCAACGTGACGGAGATCCACCGGGTGGGGAATATCACCAGTGTGCGCTTCCGGCGGGAGGTGGAGACGGAGCCCATCCTCACCTACATCGAGGGCGTGTGCGTCCTGTGGTTCACACTGGAGTTCCTGGTGCGCATCGTGTGCTGCCCCGACACGCTGGACTTTGTCAAGAACCTGCTCAACATCATTGACTTTGTGGCCATCCTGCCCTTCTACCTGGAGGTGGGACTGAGCGGTCTGTCGTCCAAGGCAGCCCGCGACGTGTTGGGTTTCCTGCGCGTTGTGCGCTTCGTGCGCATCCTGCGGATCTTCAAGCTCACGCGTCATTTCGTGGGGCTGCGCGTGCTGGGCCACACGCTCCGCGCCAGCACCAACGAGTTCTTGCTGCTCATCATCTTCCTGGCCCTGGGCGTGCTCATCTTTGCCACCATGATCTACTACGCCGAGCGCATCGGTGCCAGGCCCTCTGACCCACGGGGCAATGACCACACCGACTTCAAGAATATCCCCATCGGCTTCTGGTGGGCCGTGGTCACCATGACAACACTGGGCTACGGGGACATGTACCCCAAGACGTGGTCGGGCATGCTGGTGGGGGCGCTGTGTGCACTGGCCGGAGTGCTCACCATCGCCATGCCTGTGCCGGTCATCGTCAACAACTTCGGCATGTACTACTCCCTGGCTATGGCCAAGCAGAAGCTGCCCAAGAAACGGAAGAAGCATGTGCCACGGCCACCCCAGCTTGAGTCACCCATTTACTGCAAGTCCGAGGAGACCTCGCCCCGGGACAGCACCTACAGCGATACCAGCCCCCCTGCCCGGGAAGAGGGTGTGGTGGAGAGGAAACGGGCAGGTGAGTAGGGACTGGGATGGAGGGTCTCTCTTCTCTCCATGGTTGAGGCAGTCCCCAGGTCCCCTTGGAATTAGAGGCTTTGCTTTAATATGAGTATAAGATGTCCTTTATGAAGACAAAGTATCAAAGCCGACTTCATCCTCTTGCTTTCTGAATTTCCTGAACAATGGGGATCTGTGGGATCAGTATTCCACCCGGTGTACCCTGGGCTTGGTACTGTGCTTGGGTGTGTATATTGAAAGCCGTGGTTTCTGATCCCCTCCTAGCTGCTGTGCTGTGTGCCAGTGTCATATCCTCTCTGGGCATAGATTTCTCTGTAAAATAGGAGTGATATATCAATATTCTACCCCTAAGACCCTGATGAGATCCAAATGATAGGTATAAGAGCACTTTGAGAAGTTAAAACCACTTTACTAATGTCAGGAGCTGTCATTATTAGCCAAAGAGCAGACAGCTGTTCTTCCAAGGTGCATCAACACATGAATCACTTCTTTCCAAACATTCAAGTCTGGTGTGTCTTGGCCTAATAAATGCGATAACGTAACAGCAGTGGGAGGCTGCCTTCTGTTCAGCACAAGCTAGATTGAGTCCCAGGCTCAGGGTTGAACATGGGATGGAAGAGGACTGAGGAAGGAGAAGCCCAGACAGTCTTGGGAAGCAGACGAAGATGGAACAAACTGGTATCTGCATTCGGAAGGATCTCTGTGCCCTGTCCTTCAAGGATTGAGAAGGCCAGAGAGCTCACTTCCATCTGGGGCGGACCAGGATGGGAAAGCATCTCCATCTCCAGCAACCTGGAGTTAGGCTGCAGGGCATTGGCACCTGATGGTCAGGATGCCTGGGCTCCTGGGGGAGATGTGGGATGCCTAGTGTAGGGGGGCTATTGGATGCTGGGGCCCCAGGGACTGATTTGGGCCAGAGATTGAGGCAGCAGCTCCTGGCTAACCTCTGGGACAAAGCAAGATTCATCCTCCATGGAGGTACCTGAGTGGGAACAATCACCTGTGGCCTTTGGGCATGTGCCCATCATGGGCTTGGGTTTTCCTTTATAGAAGACCCTGATAGAACAGCACCCACCAGGTTCCCCTCCCCGCCCACCAGCATGGTACCTGCTTCTTGACCCTGAATGTAAGTCTTTCAGGGGTATCAGTTGTACTCCAAGGCCCCTGCTAGGCTCAGAGCCAATCCTCACATCCAAACATGGAGAGGTTCTTAGGGGGGCTCCTCGGTTGCACTTCACCGAAGCCCTGTCAGCCACACCTTTAGCTGCCCATGATGGCTAGTCACATCAATGGCTTGCTTGGCCAGTGGCCAGGCAACTGTCTTCAGACCTCACTTCTCTGTATCCAAGGGCCCAGATCACCTGTACTAGTTACTCCCTTACCAAGGCAAGGAGTTGGGGCTAAAAACCACAGAGCCGAATCGAAGCCTTTTCTGCATGGTGTCTTTGCAAACATGGGAGCCCTGCAAGCAGAGAACTCCAGGTCCTGTAGGTACTTTCAGTCTAAGTGCATGGTAGGCAAGAATAACTGTCTTAGGTGATGCAGGGAGAGAGCCATGAACAGCACTAGGAGTGGTGGACATCATTTGGGGGTCTTGCCGCAGGACATCTGCTCTGCTTCACCCTCAGGGAAGACTTTGGGTTGAGGCTGGGAGGGAAGCTGTGCAGATCAAGCACAGCATCCAACTCTTAGCCTATTTCCTGGCTCCAGGAATATTTTCTCTCGGTGATTCTAGGCCCCTTCCTCTGATTGGGCAAGTGACATTCTGGGTCCAGGTCTGAGGCACAGGTGGCCCTGTGAAGAAGGCTCTGGCAGCCAGGCATGGTGGTACATGCCTGTAATCCCAGCAGGTTGGGAAGCTGAGGCAGGAGGATTGTGAGTCCAAAGCCAGCCTCAGCAACTTAGCGAGGCCCTAAGCAACTCAGTGAGACTGTTTTAGTTAGATTTTTTTTTTTTTTTTTTTTTTTTGGTGCTATGACTAAAAGACCTGAACAAGAACAATTGTAGAAGAGGAAACGTTTATTTGGGGGCTTCTGGCTTTAGTGGTCTCTGTCCATACATAGACAATCGGCTTCATTCTTCAGGGTTCCAGGTGAGGCAGGACATCCTGGTGGAAGAGTGTAGCAGAGGGAAGCAGCTCACTTGATGATCAGGAAGCAGAGAGAGAAGTCTCCACTTGCCAGATACAAATGTATACCTCAAAGCCACACCTCCAATGCTCACCTCCTCCAGCCACACCCTACCCACCTTCAGTTACCACTCAGTTAATCCCCATCAGTGGATTAATTCACTAATAGGGTTAACACTCTCACAACCCAATCATTTCTCCTCTGAACCCTCTTCCATTCTCTCACGTGTGAGCTATGGGGGAACAACTCACATCCAAACCATAACAGAGACCCTGTCTATAAATAAAAAATAAAAAAGGGCTGGGGATGTGGCTCAGTGGTGACGCACCCCTGGGTTCAATCCCTAGTACCAAAGAGAGAGAGAGAGAGAGAAGGCCCAGGCAGCCCCTGTAGCCCTACCCTCCCCCTTTTTTTCCTGTCTGTTCCCTTCAGACTCTAAGCAGAATGGTGATGCCAATGCAGTGCTGTCGGACGAGGAGGGAGCTGGCCTCACCCAGCCCCTGGCCTCCGCCCCTACCCCCGAGGAGCGCCGGGCCCTGCGTCGCTCTGGCACACGGGACAGAAACAAGAAGGCAGCTGCCTGCTTCCTGCTCAGTGCTGGGGACTATGCCTGTGCCGATGGCAGTGTCCGGAAAGGTATGGTTCCCCGGGCCGGGCAGGTGGGGAGCCCCTGCAGAGCTGAGTCTCCCCATCCCTCCCCACAGAGCTTGAGGTCTCCCACTCCCCTGAGCCCATGGCCACCATCTCCTCTGCCTTGGGTACGTCCCCGCTTTTAGAATGGGGTATGCTGTCTCTGGACTGGAAAGGCCCCCAGCATCCCAAAAGGGTCCACAGAGCGCCTCCGCTGCCAGAGTACCCATGGGACAAGCAGTGCTAGAGGGTTGAGGGAACTCAGGCTCAGGGGCCCAGCCCCTTCATTTATATCACCTTTTCTGCCTTGGAGTCCTGCTTCTGCCTTCAGGCCTGGCCCAAGGGTCACTGCCAGCCTCTCCTTAGGCCTCCCTTGAACACAGCTAAGGCTTCTTCACTCAAACAGTCCCCAGAGATCCCCTCAACCTTCGAGAGTCAGATTCCAGGTCTTTGGAGAGCCCTGTACAGGCCCCATTCCTCCCATTCTTAACTGGGGCCCTGGAGCCCAGGTAGGCTGACCAACATCTGCAAGCCCCCGGGGGTGACGGTCCTCTCAAGGCAGAGCCAGAGGTGACCAGAGTGAGGTGGGCAGGGAGAGTGGTCCTGAGTGTTCTGAAAGATTTGGAGAGTTCAGGGGAGTAGCCCCTTCCTTACATGTGAAGGAAAGCCAGAATTCCATCACCAGGCCCCAGAGGCAGGACAGAAGTTGGGCTATGGAACTAGGGCTTCTGGTCCTGAAAACTGGGCTAGAGATGATTAGGGATGGGTGACAGCCAGAGGTGGCTGAGAACTAGGGGTCCTGAGATACTTCTCCTGCCCAGTTTCTGATCACTTTTTGTATTTCCTATCCCTGACCTGATCTCCCTGAAATCCTGCCTAGTTCTAGGACAGGCCCTGACTCTTCCCGCCCCAAACAAATCTCTTCCCAAATTACCTGGTCATTTCTTCAGCAGTCAGATTTCCCACCTGCTACTTCTCACTATCCCCAAACTTCAGACCCAGACTGGGTTGTGTGAGGGGGCGGGGCAGGGGCTGATGCAAAGATGACCTGTAATGCCTCTGATCCCTGGGGATGTCCCCTGGCTGCCCTGACCAGGCAGGCTCCCAGAGCACCTTCCCTGGCCCTGAGAGGTCTGTCCAGCTTTGCTGCACATGTGTCTTGGTTTGCAGAAGCAGGAGTAGCAATCTAACCTGGAAGGAGAGGGCCCAGCGGTCCCAACTAAACGACAGCAGATGGAGTGTGCCCAGACCTTGTACACCCCTGGCTATTCCCCCAGGACCCCAGTCTTCAGGCCCTGGACATGCCCTTCTCTCCTGCCTCTTCCCCCTACCATATAGTGGTTCCACCACACCCTGGTACAAACCCAGAGTCTTGCTCTAACTGGAGCCTGCTGACCTAGAATGTGGGGCAGAGGGGACCATATCCCCATGGAGGACTTGAGCCCACAGAGCTAAGTGCCAAGCACCCCTGCTTCCTTCCCTGTGCTCAGTGCAAGTAATGGTGTGGAAGAATCTGAGGGCTCAAGTCAGGAGGGACCCCGTGGTCCTGGGAGCAGCTGAATCTATGAAAGGGGGTCGCGTGCACCTGCACACAGCCGGGGAGCCTGTGTCCCACCACCCTGTCTCTCTGAGGTGCCTGTGGGGCCTTGCTGCTCTATTTTCAAGATGCCTCCACACTGCTTCTTGGCAACAAGCATGTAACTCAGCCAATTAGAGTGACCTTCGAGAGGGAACAGGTGGGTTGCTGGGAAACAGGCCCTGCTAAGTGAGCGTGAGTTAACATTGCCAGACTCTCAGTGTGCACTCAACAGCTTCCCCACACTCCCATGCCGTACCCTTCTGCACTCAGCTACATGTAGGACCAGGAGAGAATGGTTCCCCGCCTTCTCCAGCCACCGGCACAGACTTCATCATTAACCTGAAGCTGCCTATGTGTCGAGTGTCAGCTCCTCCAGGAGTGGTGGCGCACGCCTGTAATCCCATCAGCTTGGAAGGCTGAGGCAGGAGGATCGCAAGTTCAAGGGCAGCCCCAGCAATTTAGCAAGGTCCTAAGCAACTTAATGAGATCCTGTCTCAAAATAAAATATGAAAAAAGGGGCTGGGGATGTGGCTTAGTGGTTAAGTGCCCCTGGGTAGAGAGAGTCAGCTTCTTGGGAGGAAGGTGGCAGGTGCTAACTGGGGCTTCTTAGGTTGGGTGCTGGAAGTTGTAGGGTCTTTGTGGAGCTGGGCTATCAAGAAACTCTTGAGGAACTTATCTGGGGACAAGATAGGATAAAGGGCAGCTGGGTGTGGGGTTCTGGAGTCTGTCTTCAGGAACCCAGGAGACCAAAAGGTCAGAGAGTCAAGAAATCCCTCCCAGGAGGGACAAATTTCTCGACCCCAGCCTAGGGCCAGCACTGGCCCTGCAGGGTCCCCTGGAGCATGGATTCCACAGACCTGCTCTGGTGAGGAGCTGCGTCCCCCTGACCCATATGCCTTTTCTTCACCAAGGCTGCGAAAAGTCCCGGAGTCTAAACAACATAGCCGGAGCGGCTGGAACCAGTCTGGGGCTGTCTCCACTGGCGTCGCGGTACAGCTCGCCCTACCCTCCGAGAAAGCTCCTGCTCTCCCACCCCTTTCACCCCCTCACCAGCCCCCCACCTGGCCACTCGGCCCCTTAGCTACACCCTTGACCTTCCTTGCTTTGGGCAGGGGAACACATACCCGAGCAGGCACACTCGTGATCCTGTTCCTCCTGGGGCCTTAGGGAGCAATGGGAGGGAACCGCCATCAGGATGGAGATTCAGGTCCCTGAGTGTCCCTGCATAGCACTCAGCTCCCCAAAACGTTCAGCTCTGGAGCCTGACAGCAGGGGGGTGGTTATTCCCAGAGCTCCTACCCTACCCCCCCAGTATGGTCTCCTCTGAGCCATTGAAGTGGCATATACAGGACCTGCGTCTCTGGGCCTTGCCTCTGTCTCAGCGTCCCATGGTTCAGAAGGTGGTGCACCGTGCACCTGCGACTAGCCAGCCTTGCCAGAGAGCCATGCCTACCTTAATATTTTTAATCACCACAAATGCATTTCCCATTTCTCGTGGCCTTTAACCAGTAACCAAGCAGCCTGTCTTGTCTGTCTGCCTGTCTATCTCACACCAAGACCAGCAAGGAGCCAGGCTGTCATGTGGGGCATCTCTGCTGCCCTCAAGGGGGGTCTGACTCCTTGGAAGAGCAGTGCCTACAGGCAGTGCTGCCCTGGGAGAAGAGACCTAGCGTTTCCCCTGTGGCCTGGGATGCAAGTGGGGGTTCCTAGAATCAAAGCCCCAAACTTGGCACGAGCCATGGGCCGGGTGCCTAGGTGCGGGGAGGCCTGTGCCCCGATTCAGTGGGTGACACCCAGCGGCAGCACCCGGCATCCCATCTGCATCCCGTACTGCAGCCTCTCTCTCCACACTGCTTCCTCTGCTTCCGCGACAGTTTTTCCTCCCTCTCCTGCTCTCTCTGATTCCCAGCCCTGCCTGTGAGTCACCTGCCGCTCCCACCCAGCCTCTGTGCTCTGTATTCCTGCCAGAACCAGAGACTCATCTAATTTCTATAATTAAGTGTGTTCATTTACCTAACGAGCCTGGGAGCACAACAGGTTTGTGAGTCATTGGGTGAGCAGGGGCACACCTTGCGCAGGGACAGCTGAGGGGAAGCAAGGAGACAGAAGCCATCCCACCCGCACCTGCTCGTGCCACTCCCAGGGAGGCCCACACCTGCCAACCCAGCCCTCCTCAGCCCAGGACCCAGGAACAAAGGCCTCGGCCCAGACATTTCCTGTTTCACCTGATGGGAATTAGACCTGACAGCAGAACCGTGTGCCTGGCAATTTTTAGAGTCAGATTATGCAACTTTGTGGAAGGAGTGACTAAGGAAGGTCCATATCTGTTCCCCCAGGGTGGCAAAGAAAGGCTTGGCAAGACAGTTTTTGGGGACCTGGCAGGAGGCTGGGAAATCTGGGGCCACCCCCAAAAAAGGTGGCCTGGACAGGAAGATCTGATTATTTCCTGGGGTTCAGGGTACAGTCAAAACCTGTGCCAGGAGCATCCCCTTCTAAGTGCTTCCATCACCCCTGAGCAGATGTGGGATGTTCCTTTCATAAAGGTCCATTCAAGATAGAGTGGGACACTCTACCTTTGCTATGATCTGTGGGGCCTGCCTGCCATTTGCTGTCAAAATAAAGTGACCCAAACGATTTGAAAAGAGATCCTATAGGGGCATCATATATGTGACCACTCTTCAGAAGGGAACAGGCCCCTATAAGTGATGCAGACTTTAAGTGATGGGAAGCCTGTGGAGCAGGATGGAGATGCTGGCACCTTTCCCCCTCACAGCCAAGTGTCAAAGTTCAGCTTCCTCATGACAGGTCCCACCCTGCCCCGCAGAGCTCCTGGCTGAGGGCTCTGGGGTGTGGCCTGACAGGGCATGATGAGCAAGGTGTCCAGTTTAGCATGGGCACCACAGCTATTTTCTCCTCTGATTTGCCGTTCTGGTTCAGGGAACTGAGGCGGCTATTTCTGTGGCAGCCCTCAAGTTGTCAGGAGCCCAAGTTTCCACGGCACCCACCGCCTCCTCCCCTCTTTCCTCCTACGGGGATGGGTATGCTCACGGCACCCCTGTGGGGGGCACAGATGTCCCTGGGCAACATGATGCAGCAGTGCCAGGCTGGAGCCCCTAGTGTCTTGGGGGTTGGGCTCCCACACTTCCCGCCTGGCTCTCTGGCTCGTTAGGGTAGAGACAGGACCCAGCTGGCGGGAGAGCTGTGTAGGTGTCTGCCCCCAGCTACCTCTCTCGACCTCTGGGCCTTCCTGGGTCCCTGGGAAATCGAGAAGAGCAGTGTTTATAGAGCTCCCAAGTACGCTGGGCTTTCTCCCAGGAGGCTGCCACCTGCACTGGCCTCAGGCCCTCCCAGGGCCTTGGGCTTTGCTCCTCAGGAGAAGGCCTTCTCTCACCCAGAACCTGATGGTGTAGTTTGATTTTCCTTGGACTTGCACCCATTTCTTTGACTTCTAGAAACCTTTCCCCACAGTTGGGACTTGACCCTTTCCATAAGGCAGGGAGCAGCCCAGGCAGGAGCTTTTAGCCTCACCTTCCAGGCAGTAGCAGGATTACCGAGAACCCTAGAGGCAGCTTCTCAGCTCCAGGCTTCCGAGAGGAGTGGCTGTGAGGAGCTACCAATGGGCAAGTGACGGTTCAGCCTAAGACCAGGATTGACAGAGGCTGGAGGGGAGGAGGAAGGCCTGGGCTCCAGGGTGCGCCCCTTAGCCAGGGCTGTCCTTCACAGAGCATCTGAGAGAGAAGGGCCTCCTCTGCCCTGGCCTGAGTGTATGTCATCCTCTGAAACCCCTGACCCACCCTTGGTGGCTTATGCAGATAGATTTCACAAAAAGATTCCCGGGAAGAGGCCCTTGATGATGGAGAGCCCATGGAAGTCACTGAAAATGCCACCTAAGGCCATTCTTTCTCCAGAGCACCCAGGGACACTTCACAGCCTTGCCAGGACTCCCACCACGCCCATCCTAGACCTCATGGTTTACTAGGTATTCCCACCAGTGCATCTTAGGATCTAGAAGTCTGTGGAATCCAGAGACACTCCCCTTCCCTTAGTGAGCAGGGACCCGTGACTGGGTTTTGTGACATGTACAGATTTGTGTTAGAAATACAACGGAAGACCACAGCCCTCTCCTTGTCCTCAGAAATGGGGCTCTGAAGGGCCTTATGTTCTCTGATTTCTTCAAGAATTATATTCAGTGGCCCGGAAACTAGTGGGCCAACAGGCTGTGTTTAAGGAGGCGGTTGAGGCCCATAATCTTAACGAGTTGGAAATGGTGTTGCTCCAAGATGAGAACACACTTTCCCCATAAAAGTAATGGCTCTCCAGTGTGGCATGGCAGCCCACCAGGGTAGAAGCTTGTGGATGCCAACTCTGATGCCTGCCCTGGACCACAGACCTAATAGTTTCAGGAATTGTCCCAGCACCAATCTGGAGAGGCTGAAACTCCCACCACACTGTTGGGCCAACCCCCCTAGCTGCTCTGCCGGTGCCATCACTAGGAGGTAGGGGAAGAGAAGGCCCAGGCCTCAGAAATCCCAGGTTGAGGGTGGGATGCCCTTAAGGGTTCTCAGAGGGGTGGGCTCTCAGATGCCATGTACTGGTCTTCCCTCTTGAGACAGGCATATGCATCCTCCCTGACCACCAACTGAGGCTGCAAGCCCTCCTTCTGCAAAGACTTGTCCTCCCATGTTGTGGACAGGAGCTGGGCATGATATGGCTCCATATTCTGGTGCCTTACCAGCTCCTTAGGACAGTGGAATAGTCCAGGGTGGTGAGGGCAGTGCAGCTATTTGGGGGAAAGCTTAAGGGCTGGCAGTAATTGGGTCCCATGAGCCACAGGCTACATTAAGAAGCTTCGCCACTGCCTCCCTGCTAGGGTGTAGAGTTATGGTCCTTCTACCGCATTGCAGCTCTGAAGACCTGAGAGCTAGTAGTTTCTGGAGCTTGGTTACCGGAGCAGATGTGGATATGCACTGCAACCCCTGGGCCCAGAGGGGTGATGAAGGGCTCACCTCATTCCTTAACCCATCCCTATGCTTTCTGGCCTCTTGGCCCGGGGTTCCCTATGCCTTCCAGCTCTGCTCCTGGCCTGCTCCTTAGCCCACAGCCTGTGGGTTAGCTGCTGGCTTTCTTCTAACATGTCACTCTTTGTTTCTCCCTTTCTTTTGCTGAACTCCTTGCCCCCAGAAGGCAATGTTGAACCGAAAGCGTGCGTCCCAGTGTCTCACACCTGTGCTCTTTAAACACAGAGACCTGCCAAGACGCCCTCTCGTCCAACTATGCCCAGGCTGAAGTCCTCACTCTCTCTTAAAGTGGCACCAACGTGAGAGAGACAGGCAGACAGACAGAAAGCCAGAGGCTTAGGGAAACTCTGGAACCCAGGCACGAATCTTTTCACTGGGAAAGACTCAGATATCCTTGTTTGCACAAGACTGGTGGAAAACCTCCCATGCGACCCTCGGGGCCCAGAGCCATCTGGGTCTGATGTTCTGTTCTACTGTACATTGAAGAGATATATATGCACATATAGTATCTATATTCATACATACTATACTCTTGTGTGTAGTGCACGTGCTATTGGTGGTCTGTCTTCTTTGTAGGCTATGTCTCCCTGAACCCTCTCCCCACCCCAAGTTTCCTATCCTCTTTCCCGCAAAGATTCCTTGTTTCTTCTGACTGTGTGTGGGGAATGTCCCAGGAAAAGTGCACCTGAGAACCACCCATCTACCTGGGTGGTCCCAGGATACTCTCTGGGGGTGTTTACCCTGTCAACAGGTGGTCTGTTGAAGTCTGTAGGCGGCCAGACTGCCCCCCAGGGTCACTGCTCCACTAGCCCACCCCCACCCCAGGTTGGGGTTCTACCTCCCACCCCACACCCCAGTTGTGGGGGGACTTCCAGGGGCTCCTCTGCGGCCTCTTCCACTCCTTCCAACACCCCATCTGTGTCCTTGATAGAGGGGGGCATTTTGTCACTTTCATTTTTGATTTATTTGTTCTGTCTCCTTCATCCATTTGTTTTCAAAGATGCTGCTGGGCAGACGGGCAGGAAAGGGGTCTGTCTGCCCATCTGGCTCAGGGGTCTGAGAAGGGGACACCTCGGGCAAGAGGAGACCAGTTGCAATACTGTACTTCCTGGCCGGTGGCCAGAGGATGCGTGCAATAGCAGAGGCCAGGTGACCCCTTCAGCCTTGGCCTCGGCCCTCCCCCCTGCCCCTCCCTGGTGTTGGTTAAGTCCTTCTCTCAAGCTGTCTCCTCATGTGTGTCTGAGGCACGCCTAGGCCGGGCCCTGCTGCCCTGTCTGCATGCCTTCAACTGTCATGCTGTGCTCGAACCTCAATAAAGACATCGGAGTGTCCTGTTGCTCCTCTATGTGAGTGTCTGCCTCTCCTTTCTGACTCTGGGTCTGTGGGGACCTCCCTGGGCCCCCACCCACTACACCTGAAGTATGCTACACATCTGAGCATAATCCTGGCCCACCAGGGGTTCTCCATGCAGCGCAGCCCTGATGTATTATAGCCAGAGGTAAAATCTCAGAGGAAAGAAATCTGCTCAAGGCCACACAAAAGGATCTAACCCTGGACCTCTGACTTCCAGGCAGTGGTCTGATCTCTACTGCTGCCACCTGAGTCCCCCTCACAAGGAAGAAGTCTTTGTTTAGGCAGGTCCCCTCTGCTCCTGCTTGTTTGTGCCTGGGCTGCCTCTCCCTGTCATTGCATGAGTTCTAAGTGGGCCAAGGCCCTGGGGATGCTACTCATTGAGATGACTGGATGGTTAATGGACTTAAGCCAACAAGGGACCGGTAGCACTACCAGGGGCAGCCTCTGGGTAGGCAGTGAGCACACCTAGACCTGGGTAGGATGGGGGTGGGGGATGGCAAGCAATGGTTACATATGGGCCATGACTCTCACTGCTGTCCTGCACATTCATATAGGGGCACAGGCAGAGTAGCTTCATGGGCTGTAACCCTTGGAGTCACTCAGAGGGATCCCATGCTGGGTTTAATGCTCAGCTGTCACCATTGTAGGATTAATCATTGTTGAACAAGGGGTCTTATGGTTTTATTTTGCACTGGGCTCTGCAAATTATGTACTGGGTCTGGATGCTTGTGTTGTTGTTGTTGATTCTATGTCTTACTCCTTACTCTCACTAGAGGCAAAAGTTGAGTCATGGGGACCTCCGTTCAGTCTTGGTCTGCCCCTTACTAGCTGGATAACTTGGGGACAATTCCCCAAGCTTCAGTTGCCCTGTCTGTAGAATGGGGACAAGAACAGCAGCTGTCTCGGGCGGCAGTGTGAGAGCCTGCCGGCCGGGTGGCATGTGTCTACACACAGCAGACGGTAGACATACAATGAGTGTCAGCTCTCTTCTCACCCTTAGCCTGCAGCTCTCAAGTGTTTCTCTGCAGATTTCTGAAATCTCCATGTCCATCACACTAAGGAAGGACAAGAGCACACCCAGAGCTGGCCTCCGGGACAGCACGGAACATCAGGGTGAGGACCCCAGGGCTGAGGGGAGGGAAGAAGCAAGGAGAAGCCGGTTCCTGAAGTGTCAGAGAAAATCAGCTGGGAGCCTGGGCTGGCAGAAGAGGTAGGGTGGTGGCAGGCAGCCAGTTGTCAATTAAAGATAAAATCTCTCCTCCAACAGTGGAGGGCAGATAGGGGCTGTGCCCCCCTCCCCTCAAAGAAAGCCATTTGCAGCCAGGCTTGCTCAGAGGAGCTTGGCCAGGCGATAATGGGATGGGATGCACTGCTGGCTCCATAATGATATTACGCATCAGGGCCCACGTCCAGAATGGCTGTTTTTTTGTTTTTGTAGATCAATGTGGAACCATTTCATGGTCAGAGACTGAGAACCCAGCAAGCAGCCCAGGGATACCTTATGGCAGGGAGATCCTGAGGGGACCCAAGGGGATGCAGCTGGGGTGCATGGTGTCACCATGCACCCAGAGCCCTGGAGGAAGAGAGGGGCAGAGTGTACAGGAGGGCAGAGCTGGGTGAGAGAAGCAGGAGGCCCCACCTTGCAGAGACAGCGAGCCTTGCTGTCAAGGAAGCCACTCTGAGGCAGCCGGGAGCTGGAGGGGAGCCCAAACTGGGGAACTGCTTAAGATAACAGGACACTGTGGTGATTGAGAGGGGTTTTTGAAGTCAAAAGGATTTGGGTTTGAGCCCCGGCTCCATCACTTTCTAGTTGTGATGGCACTTAACCTGTCTGAATCTCCCCTTCTCATCTTTGTGATGGGAGCAACAATGGGCTCTACCTCACTGAGCTGTCAGGAGGATGAAACAAGTTGGTGCCTGCAGAGGCTTCGGCACAGCGCCTGGCGCATAACCGTCGCTTACAAATGTGGGGGTTGGGGGTGCTGTGGAGCAACTCAGTCGAATAACATGACCATTTTGTTTTGATGCCCTCAATTTTCAAAATAGGTGCTAGGAATTAGCCTTGTTCCAGTGAAGCCCTTATCTCCATGCAAAAGAGTAAGAGTAGGGATAATTCCAAACAGCTGCCATTTATCAAGTGCATGGCAATACATTTAATGCTCATAAAAATGCATTCCAAGATTGGTGTTATCATTATCTTTGTTCCACAGAGGAGAAAACTGCAAGTCAAAAACACATAGCCCGGGCTGGGGTTGTGGCTCAGTGGTGGAGCACTTGCTTGGTATGTGTGGGGTCCTGGGTTTGATTCTCAGCACCACATAAAAATAAATAAAATAAAGGTCCATCAACAATTACAAAAAAAGATTAAAAAACAAAACACCACACAGCCTGCAAGTGGCAAAGCTTGGATTCCGAGCCAAGCAGCCTTGCTCTGTGGGCCCAATGTCTAGCCCCTGTCTAAACCAAACATGGCTTAGGAGGCATTAGCCCCTAGTGTGGGAATTTGTGCTATTAAATTTTTCATTTCCTTAATCTCAGTTGATTCTTACAGTGAAAGCATTGTTTCCCCTTTATAGATAAGAAAACTAGAACTCAGGGAAAGGGGTGATTTAACTCACTCTTCCTTTTATGTGTGTGCACCCCATGACACACACACGTGCCCATACACAAAGGGGTAAGGGATGTCTTCTCAGACTTCGTTAACTAGTCAGTGGGAACCTCCAGCTCAGGAAGTGACTGGTCCATTCCCTGTGCAATGCTCCGAAGTTTTATTCTCTGGCACACCGAAGAGGTGCCTGGGAGGGACTGGTCTGGGGACCAAGTTACATGAGGAAGATCTAACCTGGAGAAGATTCAGTGGAAACCTGATCTCTACTTTTCAGGTATTTGAAAGATCCTGAGAGGAAGGGGTTTCCAATGATACCTGGAAGTGTTAGGAAACACTTGCATTTGGATAAAGAAGAAACTTGTTGTTTTGTTTGCTAGTAGAAATTTAATGCACGGTATTGCAAAACATCTCATAATCAAGAGGGAAACCCCCATCCCTCTCCTCCCTCTGAAGGTAGCAACATGAACATCTGGTGTAGGTCCTCCGGGTCTTTCTGAAAAGAGACTCTTTCTAGAAAAATCACCACTCCATTCCCTGGACATGTTAAGAGACACTGGACGGTAATGTGTTGTGCCAGGGGTTCATGGGAAGAACTTCTGCTCTGCATGGAGGTTGGTTAGAAGACCTCCTCCAGTTGGAAGACTGACTCACCTGGGGCTGTGCAACCAGTTCTGTCCAGAACCCAGGGCTTGTGAGCAGGGGTCAGATCAGCTGCTTTCTCAGTGTGATTTCCTCCCAATTCCCTAACTCCAGAGCAGAATTCCCAGCAAGACTCGCTCTGCTTCTTCCCCACCCATCATGGGTATAAGGAAGGCAAAGGAACATGTAGCACGTCTTGTCTGCAGTGGGTAGGTGGACACCTGGGCTTGGGTTGTGATGTGACCCAGACTCTGCACACCTGACCCCACCCCCCTGCTCCAGGAGGCATCATTGCAGTGAACGCTTTCCTTCAGTTAGGGGCTCCCAGCCTTTGTGTGCAAACCCTGGTACCCACAATAGGTGTCACACAAGCTGGCCTCAGTCTCCTGGATCTGGAGTCACCATACTTAGGCCCAGGACAGCACACATCACTACAGAGGGCTGCCAGAGGACTCCCAAGTTTCTGGCTCTCTCCTGGGTGATCTCAGTTGCACCCCCACCCCAGGAGGCCTTGGAAGGATGGTGGTTAATGCACATATGCCAGGGCTGCCCCGTACTGGTCTCTGGAAAATGTGGGGTCCTGCTTTTAGCTGAGTCAAGGTCCCTGCTTCCTAAATCAGCAATCCCTGGTTGTTGGTCAGGGGTGGGGCTACCCCCTTTCTCTCTCCAGATGCTTTCCTAGTTGACCTCACCTACTCCTGTGGCCTTCAACACTTCCAGGAACGGGTAACATCCACATTTCTGGTTTCAGTCCAGAAATCAGAAATCCCCTCTCAAGGCTGTTCGTTTGTTCCTTCATTCGGGAGACACAGACGGAGCCTCTCCTCCATTCCTGGTGCTGCTGTACTTGCTGGGTGTACAGCACTGGCCCAAACAGCCAGGTCCTTACCTCTCATGCTACCCATGCTCACTAACTGCCTGCTTGACCCAGACACAGTACTGTCACTGCTTCCCTGACACTGACTTTGATTTCACGCCTCTGCCTCCCTATTTCACTCCCTCAGTTATCATGCATGAAATCTTTATGGAAAGCCTGTATTGGGGCTGGAGTGTGGCTCAGTGGTACAGCTCTTACCTGGTATGCACAAGGCCCTGGGTTCGATCCCCAGCACTGCAATGAATAAATAAATAAGCCTGTCCTGGGGAAACAACAGTAATAAGACTGATAGGATCACTACCCTCATGGAATTTACATTCTAGTGGGGGAGAAAGGCCAGAAGACAATTGGCAAAAATATATATTTTCTACCCCACACTCCATCCCATTAGCAAGTTCTATCTTTCTGGTTCTGAAATGTATTTTAAATATTCTCTCCATTCCCTCAGCACTGTGGCTCATGGCCCCCTGCAGGGACTGCCTGGAGTTCTGCAGGAGGCTCCTCCCACTCTCCCTGGGTCCCCTCTGACCTTCTACCACCCCATCTCCACCCAGAAGCCAGAGAGTTTCTCAAAATGAAACCAGGATCATATTACCCCTGCTTAAAACCTTCAGTGGCTAAATTCCCACTGCGTTTCGAATAAAATCCCAACTCCTCAGGGGCCCCTCGAGGCCCTGATGCTGCTCAGGCTACTTCCTGCCTCTGCAGACTCTGTTTGTCCCTTTCTGCTCTCAGCCCTCAGCCCTTGGGAACCAGCAGCTCCGTTACCCTCGGCTTCTCACACCTGCCAATCTCTTCTTCACAAGTGTTTTCACAGTGCTGCGCCCCCCACACCCCCCCTGGGTTCCCCTCACCACCTCCAGGCCCTCCACC